AATTTACATGTGCTTTGAAGAGATTTGATCTCCACCAACTCATTTATATATGGGTTGTGACGTTGCTCTTCACATGTTAAAAAGAGTTTATATAATAAAACAAAAGTTAAGCACTTTAGGGTTAGTGAGAGGAGTAGGATCCCCAAATGCCACCAATCTCCATCAACATCTCTTATATAATTTGTTTCAATCATTGAGTTTTAAAGTAGTAAAAATGATTCCTTCCCCTTTTTGCATCTTGCAATAGAGTTGGGGCGGATCCATATCTTCTTGCGTCTCTATTTTAAAATCTTAATTTTTTCGATTAATTATTTATTTTATTGATGATGTTCAACCTAAAATTTTATTTGTATCTAATCTATTAAAAAAATTTATGTTGTTAATATACATGTGTCTTCTCTCAAAAAATATTTATGAACCAGTCACCTAATATAATTTTATATTTTTATACATATCATTATATAATTAATGGATCTAATGATTAAAGTACATGAATAATGCAATGAAATGGGTTCTTACCCCAAAATGCAATAGCATAGGCTATGTGGTATCCATATATGTATCCGATATGTTCAAATAAAACCCAAAGATGCCATTTAGTGTCTTATTAATACATATGGGGTGGGTTTCTTCGTCATATACAATTATCACTTTGCCCTATAACAAGCATGCACGTGTAAAAAACAGAACATGCCATGTTGTTGTTGTCGTCGTGGTAAAAGCTTTAGCCTGCCTTAGTCTTTGCCTTCCCCGTATCAATGTGTTCTGTACAAGTCAAATTATCAAACACCTATGGTTTGGACACCCTCAATAATAAATATAAGCAATTAACATTGTCCCCCACTTTTTAATATGTAATCTTCTATCATTATATTTTGCTAATATTGGACGTAGACTGTTCTATTTATAAAGTTTATATAAATTTTTTAAAGTGATCAAACACCTAAAACCATTTTAATAGACAGCCATGATCAAAATGAATGATATGTAATAGGAGGTATAATAAAATCAAAGTTTCATAAATAAATAAAACGAAACAAAATAAAATAAAAGTAAGAATGAGAAGAAAATGAAAATATCATAGACAAAATTTAGTGCCTACAACCGTCATGTCAGCATTGTAAATTATCACGTCAATATGATAACAATAAAAAATGGAAACCGTTGATCAAATGGTCACATTAATTTTTTTTAATTTAAAAGTCAGATCAAATGCAAAAATAATTCCACAGCCATATTATTTTTTTATAGAAAAAATTTAAAGATCTCATATACAACTAATTCTTTTTATCAAACGACCCATGAGCAAAGCAAACACCCTTACAAGGTTATATTGAGGCAAATTTTGGGACCTTATTATATAACAATTATAAGGTTAATAACATTTAACTGTACTTTTAGGAAGAAAAATAATTACAATAATAAAAGGTAATATTTAAATTTATTTAAATTAAAACATGGAAAATATTATCATAAAACTATATTAAAATATTAATATTGAAAGAAGCTGTACTTTATGTCATATAAACAAATTTATTTTTCTTTCTCATTTAAATGGAGACATAAAATATTTGTCTAGTTTTAGTGTGATATCATGTCATCTCCCTTCCACTCTTTTTATTTCATTAAATTATGTTACATCTATAATACATATAAAAAGTATTACATAAGAAGATGTCACACAATATTCTTAAATTACAACGAAACCCAATAATTTTCACGTAACAAAGTTCCTCTATCTTGTAATAAATTCAAATTACAATGATAACTTTAAAATATAATTTAAATAAATATGTATAATAAAATGTAGAGAGATTAAAATAACATAAAAAAATATGAAAGAAGAAATATGAAGAGATAAGAGGAAACAAAGACCCTTGTGTCTTTATTTTATTATAGCTTATATTTGTTTTCTTCTTATTTTTAAATTTTTAATAACTCTGTTTTTATGGAATGTTTTCCTTTGATTTTATTGTATATTTTCGGTTGTTTGGTCGTTGTTTTCGTTTATTATTTCTTTGAGGGTTTGCTTTGATAACGTCACGACTGATCAAAGTGACACTTATTTGTTTTCATGCTTATCTTTCTTGCTTTGGACCTTTGGATTATATTTGGATACGTGATTTGTGTTCGTGGATAGTTTTTTTATATTGCTCGATTTTGATTTGTGGTTTGTCAATAGTCTTTCAATAGCTTGATCCCCTTTTGTAGTTTATTTGTTGATACAGTCAGATATGTTCGTATCTATCTTTTGTTTGAGTTTTTTATTAGATTTTTTAACTTTTTCCTTGTATGGTCATTGCGTAATCCTAAATGACTAGTTTTCTTGTATTAATAATTATAGGAAAATATCGTGTTATCTATTTAGTTTACGATTTGATTGTAAACTTTCATTGTAATTTGAATATTTTCTATTTTTAATAAAGTTAGTTGCTTTGGTAAAAAAATGGTTATCTTGATTGTAATTTCTTGGTTATTTTCATTGTAATTTGAATATTTTGATTGTAAACTTTCATTATTCGAGTTTATTTGATTATGTTTTTTAGGCTTTTCTAACATTTATTAAATAGATATTTTGGTTCTCCTTTTTGGAACATTTTTGCTTCTAAACGTTTTATTTTATGATAAAAAGATCCATAACATTTCATTGAATGGTCACTTTGGCCCTCATTCAAATTTTTTCTGGAGCATTTTGTCACTTAACATTTTATTTTAGGGTAAAAACATACCTATTTTAGAGCATTAATTGTTTAACTAACTACTTTCATCCATTGAGGAGTCTTTTTGCTCTAGAATAAAATGTTAGGGTCAAAACACTCTAAAAAATGCTCAAAGTTTCTATTTAATAAAAAATTATGGGTATTTTTTTACACTACATTTTTTTTTATTTTTTGGATTTAAATTACTTTTATCTACTAAAATTTATTAATATTTAAAAAAAACAATTAACGGGGTTCGTTTAAATGGTAAATAGCTTGGTATTTTTTAAGTATACTTCAAACTTGAGGTTTTGTGTATACAAAATATTTTTCGTTAATAGACTTGTCCACTAAAATTAAATGTGTGACACAAATTAATCTGAATTAATCAGAATAAAACTCTGAAAATTCATGAGTGCAATTAAAAGAAAAAGAAAAATAAGACCGACACATAAAATCTTATTTTCTTCGTGAACAATAAAATTTAAAAAATCTCATATTAAAAGGTGGAGATTTAAATTTTTTTAGTGATGGGCAACGCCAATATATTGGTGATATCTAGGAAAGGATTGATAGGCACAGCCACCATTAAAAGAGTGGTTTTCTTCAATAAAAGTGAGTTCCTATCACTCCTTTTAAAACCCAAATTTCTTTTCATCATAAAAAAAATGATTTTTTCATTAATTTATTAGATAAAGGAAAAGGGTAAACCTCTTCCAAGATTCCTATGAGTTTAATAACAAATGTCATTTCTTTTGTAAAAGCCATAAATATATCATTCAATTAAAATATTATTATATATATCTTATTACATCATTAAATATTGGATAAAATATTTTGGAACAATATATTTTTAAATACTTTAAGGATTATCTTAGTTTTTTTTCTAGTTTTTTCTCATTAGTAAGTCGTTCATCTCTTTTTTTTGTCTTTACTGATTGACGGAGATACCGACTTTAATATTGATTACTGACCGTCAATATTCTTTATTGTCATTTTATTTTCTCTTGTTTTTTTTTCAATAAGTTTGTTTGTATGCCACTTTTTCCTCTGCCTTTATACCATGTTTTTTTCTACTTTTTGACACATTTTTTTGACTGTTTGATCGTTGTTTTCACTTATCTTTTTTAAGGGTTGATTAGACATCGTCACAACTGATCAATATGACACTTATTTGTTATATTGTTGATCTTCTCTTCTTTGGACCATCGTATTGGATTTGGATACACGTTATGCATTCGTTGTTCGTGGATAGCTTTTCTCTTCGCTTGAGTCTAATTTGCGGTTCGGTGGTTTTTCAGTAACTTAATCTATTTTGTGGTTCATTTGCTGATGCAATCAAATCTGTTTGTATCTATATTTTTCAAGTTTTCTTGGTTAGATTTTAATCTTTCCTTGTATGGTCCTTGTGTGATCTTAAGTTGTTAGTTTTGTTTCAATGATTATATGAAATTGTACTAATTATGTGCTTAATTTATGGCTATGATTGTAAATCTTTATTTTAATTTATGATATTTTCTATTTTGAATAAAATTAGAGATTTCTTTCAAAAAAAAATTAGATAAAATATTGATGTAATCTAATACAATAATAACTTTAATCTTCAAAACTTATACAATTTATCAATTTAATCCTAATCTAAAACAATTCAATAAATTTCATATTTCATATTTAAAAAAACCATCATATTTATTTTTTATTCTTCTCCCAAATTGCTTGTTCTTCCCTACAAATATTATATTGTTTTTTGATAATTGATTCTTTATGATATAATGCAATTATCCAACTAATGCTTCAACCAAATGAGTTCACTTAGTTTAACATTATCGTAAAAGAAGATTTCATTGATGAGATTTTTAAATATAAATGTTATATTTATTAGATTATTTTAAATTAAGATATAAAATATAAAAATTCTAACGAGTAAAAGTTATTATACCGGACTATATTAAAAGCATTTTTTTAAATTTTAATAAGGGGTTTTGTAATAATATTTTGATTGAGTGGTCTTTTTGTAACTTTTATAAAAATAGTAGATATGTTTCCTACTAAAACCATAATAAAATGACCTCGGGGTGTAATTTATCCGAAAGAAAAAGGGGATAAAGAAAAGAGATAATTAATACCTGGTTGCAGAAATCTGTGGACTGTTGACGTCTAAAAGAAAAGGTAGCGTTACCGTTAAGTAACGGCGAGGTTAATCGTTTGTATCTAGTGCTGGCTTTTACTTGCCAAACATCTCTATATTTAGACGCTGCTCAATTATCATTTTTCTTCTTCTCATTGTTCTGTGTTCTTCTTTTCATTGTTCTCTGTTCTTCTTCTTTAAACAACAAATTATTTTCCTTTAACGCGTAAGCTTATAATGGAGGGAAGATAAGGGAACAATAATAGTATTAGTAAGGGAGGAAAATGGTGTTAAAATTTGTGAAAGATGATGATTTGGTGGAGATGAGCATGATAATCGCTCATAGAGGTCCCTCTTCATCTCGATTCCTCGATGCTTATCCCAAAAGGTACTCTTTTTAAGATCCCTTGATTTATCTTTTATAAAAAAATTTCTTTAATAGAAAGGGAAAAATAAGAATTGGAATTTTTTTTATGGATTTGATGTTTTTGATTCAATTTTTCCCACCTCTGTTTGGAAAATATTGGGAGATTGTCTTTCTTTAACAGCTTGATAGTAAAATCTCTCGCTATTTTTTTAAAATAGTTTCTTTTCTTTTCTTTTCCAAATGTTCTTTTAGTTGCATGTTTTAATTAATTAGGGAGTTATTGAATTTGATAAAATTTTGTTAATTTCTGTGATTGTTTTGGGTATATTTGTTCTTGTGTTTGATAAATTCTAGGGTTTTGATGGAGGGGAGATCATGTGGTGATTGATATGATGATGAAGGTGTTCATAAGATTGTTATTTAGTTGAATTCTTTGGTTTTTTGGGGGTAACAATGGAAAAATTTAATCCACCAGCAACAGTACTTACCTTCTCCGATCGGATAATATGAAATGGGAGATTCTTTGCTCACAGCTTTGTCAATGGAGAATCACCACCCTTCCACTCTCTTATCTATGGATTCAAGTGCTTCCTCTCATGATGAATTGGATTTGGAAATGAATAGGCAAGTTGTTCTTTCTCGGCCGCCCGATATTAATTTGCCTCTCTCCGCCGAGCGCAGCCCTCCCCTGCAGCACTGGAACTCCGACCAGTGTGATATTTTGGATGTTGGTCTTAGTTCGCAAGCTTATGAGACTGAGAGCTACCTTGCTGCACCCAAAACGGGACGGAAGTTTGCCAAACGGGTCGATAGTATATGGGGTGCTTGGTTGTTATTTAGTTTTTACTTTAAGCCTGCTTTGAATGAAAAATCAAAGGGCAAGATTATTCGCGATAGCAACGGTGTTTCTGGTTTTGATAAGTCAGATCTTAAGTTGGATATTTTTATGGTTCAGCACGATATGGAGAATATATACATGTGGGTTTTCAAGGAGAGACCCGAGAATGCACTAGGTAAGATGCAGCTCAGAAGCTACATGAATGGCCATTCTCGCCAAGGAGAGCTACCATTTCCGTTTAGTGTGGATAAGGGATTCGTCCGTTCACACAGGATGCAACGGAAGCATTACAGAGGATTGTCAAACCCCCAGTGTGTACACGGGATCGAGGTTGTTTCATCGCCAAATCTCATGGCTCTCAGTGAGGAAGATCAGAAAAGGTGGATGGAGCTTACTGGAAGGGATATAAACTTTACAATTCCACCCGAAGCTAGCGATTTCAGCTCATGGAGGAACCTTCCAAACACAGATTTTGAGCTCGAGAGGCATGTTCCTCCCCCTTCAATAAAGAGTGTTTCAAATTCTCACTCAAAAAAGCTGCTTAATGGATCTGGCCTTAATTTGTCAACTCAGCCACCTAGCCATAGCAATGGTGATGGGATGGATTTATCACTCGTCAGCTGCAAAAGGAGGAAAGAACTTTTCCCGCATGGAAACGATGATGATTGCTATTTGCCTGTCATTCGTCCGTCTGACCGAATTCAAGATACGGGAATTCATCCCAGTGAGCCACACTGGTTGAATGATTTTAGTGGGATAATGAAGAACTTCTATGGGCCTGTAACTGCTGCTAAAACCATCTACGAAGATGAAGCGGGTTACTTGATCATTATCAGCTTGCCTTTCGTTGATCTTCAGAGGGTCAAGGTCTCTTGGAGGAACACACTCACTCATGGTATCATAAAGATATCTTGTGTGAGCACATCCGGCATGCCTTTCATCAAGAGGCATGATCGGACTTTCAAACTCACAGACCCTTCTTCTGAGCATTGCCCTCCTGGGGAGTTTGTTAGAGAGATCCCACTGTCAACTCGAATCCCTGAAGACGCCAACATAGAAGCATATCATGATGGCCCAGGATCTGTCCTTGAAATTATGGTGCCGAAACTGAAAGAGGTACCTCAAGAACATGAAGTACTAGTCTGCCTCCGGCCTAAGCTTGTCGGGAGTGATCTCATGTTGACATGAAGTAGGGATTTGCAGAAGAATTATAGAAAAGGTAGATGCTGTGATTTTGGTGCTTTCATTGCTTTTACTGACTATGTATCATACAGTGTAATATATGGAACAACAAATTTTACTTTTGCCAATTTTTTGATGGCTAATTGATATGGTTTTTTACTTTTATCCACCAATGATTCTGGTACAAGGATTTGACTGTAGCGCGAATTGATATATATTGGACCAGTAATTTATTTTTCTTTTGTCACCTTATTTGGAATAAGGTCATACCAATGAGTCAGACATTGACGAAATTAACATTAAATTCAGGAAATAATTGTGCAATGTGAAAGGCAAAAGCGCCAATGTTTCTGATCCCCAAAAGTAGATATGCTTTAGACGTTCAAAGCCAATATTAGTCAACTTCCTCAATCTTAGGGCCTGCCCCGCTTCCACCAGTTGAAACATCCTCCTCCATGCCTCCCATGTCACCACCAGCGCCCTGATACATCTTCGCGATAATGGGGTTGCAGACGTTCTCTAATTCCTTCATCTTGTCTTCGAATTCATCTACCTCCGCAAGCTGGTTGTTATCTAGCCATTGGATGGCCTGCTCGATTGCGTCTTCAATCTTTTTCTTATCCGCTGCAGCCAGTTTGGAACCAATCTTTTCATCGTTAATGGTGTTCCTCATGTTGTATGCATAGTTCTCCAATGCGTCCTTGGCCTCCGCCTTCTTCTTGTGCTCTTCGTCTTCGGACTTGTACTTCTCTGCCTCCTGAACCATCTTCTCAATTTCTTCCTTGGAAAGTCTTCCCTTGTCATTTGTAATGGTGATTTTGTTCTTCTGCCCCGTGGTTTTATCCTCCGCAGAGACATTCAGGATACCATTGGCATCAATATCAAAGCACCCTGTGATCTGGGGAACACCCCTGGGAGCAGGTGGGATACTAGACAGCTCAAATTTACCAAGCAAGTTGTTATCTCTGGTCCTTGTTCTCTCACCTTCATACACCTGGATCAACACACCGGGCTGGTTGTCAGCGTAAGTAGAGAAGACCTGCTCCTTCTTTGTGGGAATGGTGGTGTTCCTCGGAATCAATACGGCCATGACACCACCGGCAGTTTCCAAACCAAGGGACAAGGGAGTGACATCCAAGAGCAAGAGATCTTGCACCTCATTACCCTCACCACTCAAGATAGCAGCTTGGACTACAGCACCATAGGCAACAGCCTCATCAGGGTTGATGCTCTTGCAGAGCTCCTTTCCGTTGAAGAAATCTTGCAAAAGCTGTTGAACCTTGGGAATTCTAGTAGAACCACCAACAAGCACAACATCATGGACGGTGCTCTTGTCCATCTTGGCATCCCTCAAGCACTTCTCAACTGGCTCCATACACTTTCTAAATAAATCCATGTTAAGCTCCTCAAACCTTGCACGAGTGATGGTCGAGTAAAAGTCAATACCCTCATACAAGGAGTCTATCTCAATAGTAGTTTGGGCAGTGGATGACAGAGTTCTCTTTGCCCTCTCACAGGCAGTCCTCAACCTCCTAAGAGCTCTGGGGTTACCACTAATGGCCTTGTTCTTTCTCTTGAACTCCTGCACAAAGTGGTTGACCATTCTGTTATCAAAATCTTCACCGCCAAGGTGTCTCCAGCAGTGGCCTTCACCTCAAAGATGCCCTCTTCAATGGTAAGAAGAGAGACATCAAAAGTACCACCACCAAGATCTAATATCAAAACATTCTTTTCGCCAACACTGGTAGCCTTTTTGTCTAGACCGTATGCAATGGCTGCAGCCGTGGGTTCGTTGATAATACGCATGACATTAAGGCCAGCAATGACACCAGCATCTTTTGTTGCCTGAGGCTGAGTCATTGAAATATGCAGGGACAGTAACCACGGCATTCTTAACAGTGGAGCCGAGGTAAGCTTCAGCAATTTCACGCATCCTAATGAGAACCATTGAAGAAATCTCCTCAGCAGCAAATTGCTTCTCCACACCCTTGTAATTGACCACAATCATGGGCTTGTCACCTGTTCCAGGGATGACCTTGAATGTCCTTCTTCTTGCTTTGCTGACGAGGAAAAAAGAATAAACAGACCGAGAAACAAGTACAAACAGGCAAACAACTAGGGTTCGAGTGGCGGAGTATTATGGGAAAAGTTGTTTAAATAGAGGTTTATTTAAGTTGGTTTCGAGAATGTTCTAAAATTTGGAGTCTAGAACCGTCGGATGTTTAGAAAATTTAGTTGACGGTCTCTGATGGTTATTTTGGGCGGGGGAGTGTGTGTTTATGCAGAGTGTAGACCTGGTTCAAATTATCAAGTGAATTGCTGCCACGTGTACTATTTTTTTATTACTATTTATTCGAAATATTCTCAATTATTTAACAATAAATGCTCATATACCTATATAGATGTTATACTTGACATAAAATCTCAAAAGATAACAATAATCCTTTAATAGTCGAAGTTGTTTGATTCGTATCATGTTACTATTTTATGTATAACTAAATCACCAATTAATCAATCTCCCAACTAAATTTTGGAAAATACTTTTGTTGGAATAATAGTTTCATTTATAGATGTTCATATCTCAAATCTCCACTGAAAATTTGAAATTAAAAAAAAAACTTTTATTTTTATATTTTTTTAAATAATGGGTTGAATGTAATTGTTTAAAATTTGAATTCAATCATTAATTAATTTAGAAAATTTTGAATAATATTTTTAATAAATCAACTTATAATTTTCTAACAATATATTATATCTCAACGTTTTTTTTACAAAGAAAAGACACTTTCATAAATAAAACTCAAAATTTATTTTTCGTAACAGCCTAAACTCATTTCATAATAGCATCAGAAAAGAAAAAGTAAAAAACCTAATATGAATTGCACCACGTCCATGATCCAACTGATCCTCACCCGATGGACTTATACTAATATGAGCTTTTTCTAAAGAACTCAGGTTACTTAAAGCATAGCCTTCAACTATCAGGTCAATACATTCAAAATAGGCAAGATTTGGAGCATTAATCTCAATCACATAATTGGAATCTTTTATGGGATAGTCGATCAGCATTTTTTCAAAATCTCAAACCAATGCCTTAAGTGAAAAACTATAGACTTTGAGCTTACTTATGAAAGGCAACTTATACAGCGCGATCACCAAGTCTTCAAGTGCAAGGCAACTGGAAATTAGCCTATGACGTCTGAGAAGGGAGTTAATAAGATGTAGAATCTTCATATTCGGTAAGCAAACATTAATTGGAACCTCCACTCCACCATCGATATCCAACTTTAGTGTCTCCAGTGACTGACATGTAAACATATCAGTTGGCAATATGGGATTAGATACGAGATTAAGTAAACTAAGTTCCTTAACATCACGCCCACATATCCAACCATGTAGGAATAAATCATCATCATCATCATATTTTAAACCCTAGTATGTCAGCCTAAAGCATTCCAAACTTACTTGGTTGGGGAAAACAATAATCTATCATCCAAGTTCTTGAAGTTTTCAAAATTTGCGTCAGTCAACTTGGAGGAGATACTATAAAAATCAAGGGTAGACGTAGAAGCAAAGAGATATCTCCACCTGGGTGAAAGAATATAGGCCGCATTATTGGGATTAGATTTTAGAACCCAAAAATACCTTATACCTCATTTTCAAAATCAAGGTTTATAATTTCCTTCATTCCCACTTACGCCACTAAATTTCTCTCCTTATACTTGGCCATTTCTGAACACCCAAGAATTTACCAAGCACCCACATTTGTTTTAAACTAAGAGTGTTCCCCAAATCACCTGGATAAGCCATTTCCGTATAATCATAAAGCTTTAAAAAAAGCCTATTTATTTGGACAATTAGATGAAAATTTAGAAGAAGATGATGCTAGAGAGATCCCTACATATTCGAAACATTCCCAAAAAAACCATAAAAGAAAAGCCAAAGCTTGTTTTCGTCCAATTTCCAAAAAGGTAGTAAATCATTTCCTTTTCTTTAAAAAAGTTTAATGTTTAAATATTACATGCAAAAGGTTTAGGGTGACCATGTTGTGTTCAATTCAAACCTTTGCATGCACGAACCAAAATTGATGCCCTACCATTTGGTTATATTCCATACGCCATTCAAAAATAATTTTTAAGACGGACACATATATATTAACAATATAATTTTTTTTATACAGAGTGGACAGAATCAATAAAATAGATAATTACTCAAAGAAAGTTCAAATTTCATAGCAGGGCTCGATAAACAAGCTGAGTCGTACAAGAACATTAGAGATGATTAGAATTAAACACAAATATTGTGATTATAGCCTTCATTTAAAGATATCAACAGTAGATAAGTCACTTTGGGGGGAGTTAAAGGCAACATATCTCCATTCGATCTCTACCAAACGATAGATAATGAAGATTGAAGAATAAAAAAATTAAAACGTTTGGAATATAACCAAACGGACATTCGTTTGGTAACAACATACCATGTTTTTGTTTAAACGGACATCGAATTCACATTCAGTAGAACAAAATAATTTTTCGTGACCATTTTCATTCAAAGAAATAAAATAAATTAAAATAAATTTTCATTCAAAATAATAAAATTAAAAGATCAATAACTCATTTCATAGGTTATAGGCAAATCATGATCAATTATTTTCACGAGACGGTGTAAAAATAATTAACTTCCAAGTGCGTTGAACTAATAATATCGTAACCATTTTCGTCATTTTCTATAAATAAATTTGTTTCTATTTCCTTTCTTTTATTCTTCAATTGATAAAAGTTCAAAAGATACTTTGAGATACAATATGCACGAAACCAATAATTTTTGAATCTGCATCGATAACACAAATATGTTAATTTCTCAATAGTTTTTTTTTTATTATCCTTTTGGTCTCACCTTTGGAGGGAATAATGGTTTTTGAAATAACCACTTCGTATATATTGATGTGAAAAACATATGATGTTTTCCAATAATATTTAAATATAAAATTCGTAAGTCTCAACTAATTCAATAAGAAACTCTATAAAAATATTGATGATATGATTATATGGTAATGAAATCATGTCTAATATATATACGTATCTGATATAAAAGTGTATAAATCTTT